TTTCAAGAAACAAGGGGAAAAACTAAAATTCCGTATAAGAGAATGTGGTACTTGACAATTACTGACCGATTGAAGAGGTTATACCAATTTGAACGTACAGCGGAAGCTATGAGATGGCATGGTGAACACGTATCAGAATGAGAAATTGCTAATCCATCAGATGCGAAATACGGGATGTTATTTGGATGGATAACACATGGAAGATTAGCTTGTCCTTACTGTCAAGATAACACAGATGCATTTCAATTGATGAATGGAAGGAAGTCGTGTTGGTTTGATTGTCATCGGCGATATCTACCACCTGATCATCCGTATCGTAGAAGCACCACATTGTTTACTAAGAACAAACAGGTGTTTGATGTCCTAATTCAGCTCAGAGATTTTGGTGCGGAGAAGACAGTTAAATGTGGTGGAAATGGGCATGAGCTAGTTGATGGCTACGGCGAATATCACAACTAGCATAAGAAAAGTATTTTTTGGGATTTGCCGTATTGGAAGGATCATCTGTTAAGGCATAATTTAGATGTGATGCACATTAAGAAGAATTTTTTTGACAATATCATGAATACCATTCTCAATGTGAAAGGAAAAACAAAAGACAACTTGAAGTCTAGATTAGACTTGTCAGATATTTGTTCTTGTAGTTCTCTCCACGTGGATGAGAGGGGAAAACTACCAATGCCAGTTTATCGGTTAGATGCAGCTTTAAAGAAAGAGTTCTTTGACTGGATTATTGATGATGTCAAATTCTCAGATGGATAGGCGTCTAACGTAAGGAATTGTGTCGATAGACGAGAAGGAAAGTTTTCTCGTTTGAAAAGTCATGATTGTCATGTCATGATGAAGCGCCTTCTCCCATTTTGCTTTGCTGGCCTTCTTTCCCAACATGTACATGAAGCCATAGCAGGTACATTTTTGTTTACTTGAGTTTTTATACTTTTTACATTTTATTCACTACTTACATAATTGTTATTTTGTTACAGGAATGTATTTCAAAAATCTTATCTTTGTTATGTTTTTTTCGACACTCTTATGTATTATTAACTCGGTCATATTTTCTTAAGACAGTGTAAATTCTATTTTAATTATCTAAAATTTTATGTACTAAAATTTGCTTACTTATCTTAATTGTTAATTTCATATAATATAGTACAGAAATAATTTTTATTTGAAAAAAACATTATTAAATTTCTGACGGAAGAAATAGTGAGAAATTTCTGACCGCCATCGTCGTCAAAAATTTTTGACAATGAAATTTGTCAAAAAAATTTGTCGCCTTTTCTGTCGGAAAATTGTGACCGTTCTATCCGTCAGAAATTTCTGACAGTCGTGTCAGTTAGAAAAATTGATGGTTAACTTATCGAAATTTTTTGACGGTTTCTCGGTTGGAAATTTTGGACCAAAAAAATAGGGTTAGAAATCAGTTAAATATTTAACCGATTTCTGACGGATTAAAAATTTCTGACAAAATAAAATTGACGGTCGTTTTTTGTCGAAAATCGGTCGAAACAGATGATTTCAAATCATTTTCTAACGGATTTGCCAGTCAGAAACGATCCTTTTTCTTGTAGTGAGTTACGAATACAAGCTTTGAATATTGAAAAAAAGAATTAGTGAAAGAATGGATAATATTTCTAATCAGTTTTCTTCTGAAGTGCTAAAATGATTAATATTCCCAGACTAAAAACCTACGAAAGAGATTTAACTAATACATAAACGTTTGGAGCCCAATGAAAGTGGTAGAGATCTAATAGTCTAATCATTATGCAGATATACATTTCTTCCTGTCGTACGGATATATTCATACATATATAATATATATATATATATATATATATATGTATGTGTGTGTGTTTGTGTATTTGTGTCTTTTCTTTTATTATTGTACAGTATGTAAATTACTTAAACAAAAATTAGCAGATGAAAAGGCAAAAGGCGGAAATATTATTATTTTGATAAATTAAAAGGCAGACATGTTGTATTATTATTCCAGAATAATTTCAGCCAATCTGTATTTTTTGGACTACTCAATTTGTTCTCTTTTCCCTTTTTTTGATTTTTGAGTTGATTAAATGTATGCTAATATTAAACTTATAGTCCAACGCCATCCATAGTTGAATACATGTGGTGGATACATTTATGAAATACAATAATCTATTATACACTCTCATACGTGAGTTAGTGTGTGTGTACAAATTATTATCGTTATTTCTCTTAAAACTATATCATAGAGATAAAGTTAGACTGATTATGCGTGTGCACCATGTTAACAACAGTAGTTTATGGATTCGTTTATTGTTTTTAAAACATATAACCGTTATTGGTTATCCCATAAATTTTACGCGTGAGCGTCATGTTAACAACAATAATCATAAGCCCCTACATGTGATTGTAACTTGTATGAGCATCTCAAATCCTACTCCATAATTTACTGCAAAATAGAGTGAGCAATGGAGTGATGAAAAAACAAAAAAATGAGTAATAAGATTTTTGTTTCTTCATCACTCAATTCTCTACTCCATTTTGCAGTAAAATATGGAATGAGGTTAGGGATACTCTAAGGTGCGATAGTAAATATTACAAGATAATTTAAAAAACAATACCATTATCTTAACTGAAACTGACAAAATTATTTATAATGAAAAAGAAAATATGGAAAACAATAATCTATCGCGACTCTAAAAAATCATTAAACTGAAAAGGGACTGATTGAAAATTAAAGTAAATTTTCTTTTTAACCATTGATTTCCTCACTTTATGATCGGCTTCCCATAAAAAATATCTTAATTTGTGTTGGTTTTAGAATTACAAATTTCATATCCACATTTTGTACGTACATCTTAGGATAAGATTTTCATAAATTGAAATTGTAATTATTATTGGGATTGACTGCTTAAAACTATAATATGAATGAGAAAATTTATTACTTGTTTTCTATATATGTTAAATATACTTATATGCTCCTTCAAGATGGAACACACCAACAAAACGATGGAACACACTAACAGTCATAATAATCTTAACTTATATGTTCTGAAATAGTGAAATTTGGAGCGAAGAAGTAGCTTGGTTAAGGTATGAATGAGCTGACCTGTTTACGTAATGTGAGGAACACATAATTGCCTCTTGTTGAACTCGTTCCAGGACAAATTGATAGTCCAATACAATGTATTTCATTCGGAAGTAAGTACAAAATTCACGCAGAGATATGTAGCATTATATTATTTCAAAAGAAGTAAGTATTTATTTGAGTTCAGATGCGTTCAGACTAAAAATTGTTACATTCTATATTGGGGAATACTCCAGATCTTTCATGATCGTATCTCGAATTAAATAATGTTATCACACATTTGAAGTACCATTATCATGTAACTTTCCAAAATATTACAGTGTTTAATTTATCATAACCTCTAACAATGACTAAAGTTAAGCCACGACTCACAACATATCAGTGTTAAGCTAAACATACTTGATCATGTCTCATCATTAGTTGATGTGAGATTATAAACTTATGTGACCATAACTGGCTGTTTTCTATTTTAAATTTTCTATCTAAAACAAAAAATGGATGTAAAAAGAAAATGAAAAATCTAAAACAAAAAATGTTTAAATCCAATATTTCTTATGTTTTTTTAAAGATTGATGTTTTAGTTATCCTAGTGGGATTAAAACATAACAATTACTTATACAACTAAATGTTTTTAACTTTTTGTAGTTTTTTGTTGTTATATCAACATTATTTTATTTTTTTACACATTAAAATATAACGCAATTACACTTTATCCAAATATTTTCTATTAAGTCACTTTGTGAGAGGTGGAAATGCATCAATTAAAATATAAATTAATATTTTGCATCTAAAAAATAAAAAATCAATCAAAAAGAAAAATAAAAATAAAAAATCAATCTTTTATAAGATTTTCTATAAATATATTAAATTTAGTGAAATTTTATCATGAAACGCAATTGATAAGATGATTACCTCGTTAATATTTGTAGACATGATATTTTGAAGAAAAGTTCCTGCTAAATGTGAAGAACCTAATGATTTGACATCTTTTAAAATCAATATACAAATGGTACTTACTTGATAGTAGTTCCACCTATTCCGAAAGAATCTTTTGGGTGAATGACAAAAACCCAACACGAATAACACTTTACAAACCGAAGCTCAAAAACTGTCTCTCATAATCCAAACATTAGTATACTTTTCAAGAAAATAAAACCAAAATAGAATTTTAAATTATAAAATATTACTACAATGGAAATTATGGAATATCGAAAAGGTATTCGTACATAAATCCCCTCCTCTGTTTCCCCTATTTAAACCCTATAACTCTTCAACACCAAACCTCAAGCTGCTTCTTCTTCTCCTTCTTCAATCTTTTTTTTTTTTCCATTTTTGTGGTTTTTTTTTTGCTTTCTAAAAGCATTAAAAATGTCAAAGACCAAATCCGTAGCTTCAATGGAGTTTCAATCTCCGGTGGTAACCACCGTAGATTGCCAGAACCAAGTCCACTCATGGCGTCTCCTCCGTTCAATCATTAAGCTTCTCATTCCAACATGCAACTCCACACTAGTCCAAGAACTAGAACAAGAAAACCCTAACTTGAGAAGCAAGAATCTCTACAACGACATCAAACCACGCACTTCCTCTTTCCGCTCCTCTTCATCCCTTTCTTCGTCCACAGTCACTGGAACAATCTTCGGATACCGCAAAGGCAAAATCAATTTCTGCATCCAAACCAGTACCGGCCCTGAGGGGAAGCATTACAAGCAACCGTTTCCGGCCCTCAAAAAATACTTGAAAAATTCAGCCTTTTTTATAAGAAAATTATTATTATAGTATATAAACGTTCTTATAAAAATGGCCAATTTTTTGAAAATTGCTTCTGGTCTTTCCCATGTCAGGACCGGTACTGATCCAAACACCAACAAAACCCACAAACCCAGAGCTCCTTCTCGAGCTAGCCGTTCCAACAACGGTCTTAGCTCGAGAAATGAGAGGAGGAGCGTTGCGTATAGTCTTGGAAAGGAACAACCAAAAAGATGAGGCAAGACCGTTCTGGAACATGTATTGTAATGGAAAGAGAGTTGGGTACGCAAGAAAACGCCGTCCGTCTAAGGATGATATGGTGGCTTTAACCGCTTTGAGTAAGGTTGTTGTTGGAGCTGGACTTGTGACTGGGAAAGAACTTGGCCGGTTCGATGATGAGTTGATGTATTTGAGAGCTAGTTTCAGAAAAGTTTGTGGTTCGAAGGAATCTGAATCTTTCCATCTGATTGATCTAGCTGGGAATATTGGACAAGAACTCAGTATCTTTTTCGTCCCATCATCGGTTTGATTCCTCAATTTTGACCTTTTTTTTTCTCTCCAATCCTTAATTATTTTACAAATCTCTATCATTCTATATACAATTAAATTTTAAATTTCATTATTTTTTTCATAAGTGGCTTTGAATCCTCAATTTTTTGATGATATCAATTTTCTGGGTTTTTCATAACGGTTCTGTTTTTTTTTCTTTTCAAAAGTTTCTTTCCTTTTTTTTTGGTCGAGAGAAAAGAACTTGTTTTTGAGTCGTGCTTAAAGCTTGTGTGCTTTAGTTTTGGCTTTGTATGTACTATACATACCACAGTTCGAATTCTCATTGTTTACCATGTTGCAAGATAATTTTTCTTTTTTTTTACATATAAATGTACAATATTGGTCTTTATACCTTGAAAATAATTAAAGACAAATGAAAATTTGTCAAGCAAGATAGATTGGTACAACAGAAAGATCAACAAGGTTTACGAGAATGACAAGATACAATGGGAAGCTTCCTCTCATGTTCACTGGATATGGTGGATTCGGTTATGGTTGCTCTGGCTATATCGAGCTGTGAGTTTTAGAGGATGCTGCAACACATGAATGGTCCAATAATAATTTCGTTTTACCAAGATTAGCTTGCAGGGAAGCCTTGTTTCAAGTGTTTTGTGCCGTTGATGATGATTCGGGGGAGTTTGTTTTGGCGCCAGAAACTTTGCGCGCACCAACGTTTTACGTTTTGGTACCTACCGAACAAAGTTTAATCGAAATCAAAGAGGAAAACATCAGAAACTTATAGAGATAATTGGCTAAAGTGCCCTATTTGGCACGTATAATTAGAGAATTGCCCATGATGTGACAATCACTTTCTTTTGGACCATTTTGCCCTTCTCTACACTCTCTCTCCTCTCTTTGACATCTCCCCTGTTTTTTTTCTCTCTTCAATCTCTAATTATTTTACAAATCTCTATCATTCTATATACAATTAAATTTTAAATTTCATTATTTTTTCATAAGTGGCTTTGAATCCTCAATTTTGACCTTTTTTTTTCTCTCCAATCCCTAATTATTTTACAAATCTCTATCATTCTATATACAATTAAATTTTAAATTTCATTATTTTTTTTCATAAGTGGCTTTGAATCCTCAATTTTTTTATGATATCAATTTTCTGGGTTTTAGATTCGACGTCGTGTTAGCGGTTAACAAATATTGTAGACGTTAACAGAAGTGTTAGTTGTTAACAATTATTTTTACGCTTCCCGTTAATAAATGTGTTCGCTGTTAACAAATATTGTAGACGTTAACAGAAGTGTTAACTGTTAACAATTATTTTTACGCTTCGCGGTAATAAATGTGTTGGCTGTTAACAAATATTGTAGACGTTAACAGAAGTGTTATATGTTAACAAATGTTTTTACGCTTCGTGTTAATGAGAGGAAAGAGAAAGGACATTCTCGGCATTTCCTTGCCAAATGGTTGTATCAGTGTCTTTCATGTCCAATCAATGGTATTTTGCTAATTTGAGCTTTAAATATGGGTAATTCACTAAATCACTCTTTTGAAAATATCCCCATTATAAAGTTAATTTTGTAAATGAAGTAACATGTTGTTTTTGCCTCGGATAAATGTTGTTTCTAGATCCGCCATTGCAGACACACATGCTCATTAAGGCCTAACCTAATGCATATTATTATAAGACACGACTATATAATATATACAAACTCACACACATCTATTTACATAATCTTAAAGACTCTAAACAAAGACGGTGAAACAGCAGAGAAATCTAATTGATTACCGCCTAGGTAAAAGAGACCGAACCACCGACATAGAACTCATTGTGCTTGCATACAGACTTACGAGTGTCTAAATAAAAAAGAGGTATCCTATTTATCACCCGACTAAGACCACTGTAATTAGCTTAACCTGTCTTTGTGGGAAAACTGTATGTTTAAGGTCTCTTCTCTCTTTTGTGTTTAGCAGTAAATAAAACTAAATAATTCAGAGAAAAATGTAAAGTTGTCTAGTATAACAAGCTTCTCGTTGTGAAAATATGTGGGTCGTGCAATGGAAACGAAATCTAAATTTGTTTGGTTGGCTATCATGCATGTAATTAAAAAAAAAAACCTCAATTTCAGCAGTGCTGCCTTTACTTGCACCACCAAGCCATCACTTGGATGACTTATTTTTGTTCGAAACTATCTAAGAAGAAAAAAAAAAAAAAACGGACTTATCTATAACTATAATATATATAACATATATAACATAAAGTTAAGATAAAGGTAATCCACATGTTAATAGGATTCCTTCCTCAATAACCTTTTAGGATTATGATTTATTTAGTGTATTCCTTATTTACATGAGATTTCTTTTGTAGTTTTACTTTCTTATTCTTTTTAGGATTGTGAATCTCTTTTGTGAGCTTATAAATATAAGGACAGCTATTCATTATTAGACACCTTTGAGAATATAATTCAACATCCTTAGCTGACGGAGTAATCTCATATTTGCTCCTTCTCAAATTTCATACAATCATGAATAGAAAAGAAACTTCTCATTCCATCCCAGTTGATCTCCAACTAGAGATACTTTCGAGATTGCCTATAAAGTCAATCTCAAGGTTTCGTTGCGTGTCCAAGCTATGGGATTCCATGCTTTGCAGTCCATATTTCACTGAGTTGTTCCAGATCAGATCCACTGCTCGTCCACGTCTTTTATTCGCAGTCAAACTAAACAATGACTTTATCTTCTTCTCATCATCATCCAGTGACAAGTCATCTGTTGTAGTACCCACTATGACTCTCACTGATAAACTGCAGCTAGAGTTTTGTAGTCATGCCTCTGGTTTGATTTGTTTCCGTCAAATACCGCCAATCACATACTCGGTTAAGGAAACTCAGCATGTAATATACTGCCCTAGCACAGGACAGCGTGTGAAGTTACCTTATCTGACACTGGGGGAAAGATACTCCTATAGCTTTTTAGGGTTTGATCCGGTTGACAAGCAGTTCAAGGTATTATACATGGATGAGGACTGTTGTAAGATTCTGACATTAGGAACTGGAGAATTGAGGTGGAGGGATATCGACAAGCCCTTTGGATATAAACCTAAAACGCCTCGAGGGATATGCATCAATGGGGTTTTGTATTACTTAAGCTTCAGTCGGAAGATAGTTAGCTTTGATGTTAGATCTGAGAAATTCAAGCTAATCAGTGGAATATGCTTTGATGGTTGGGTTATTTTTAAATTGATAGACTATAAGGGTAAATTATGTGGGATCTGTAGGCGGTATCAACAGTATGCTTCCACTGGTGGAAGGCGTAAACTTGAGTTGCTTATGTGTGTTTTAGAGGATACCGAGAAACAAGAATGGTCGGAACATGTCTACCCTTTTCCTGAAGATATAATCGTTGATCCCTTCAGTATTATCATTGTTGGAGTGACTGCTGCTGGTGAGATTGTTTTGTCTGGGGACTCAACATCTAAACCTTTTTATCTTTTCTACTTCAATCTTGAAAGGAGCAGTCTTCGATATGTTGAAATCCAAAGTAACCATGAAGCCTTTGAGGTTAGTAACAATAGAGTTTACGTCTTGGTAGACCACATAGAGGATGATAAGTTTAATAGAATGATTAAGAAACCATATGCTGCTGCTGCATCTATAAGCCCACCAGAACAGAAGCGTAAACCCACAAGCACACCAACACCATCTGAAGCTCAATTACAACAAGATAAGTTTGAGATCATTGACAAACTAGATAATATGTGTCTTTTAGGTGTTGATGGTGATGAAACTTGGTTGAGCTTTATCACTCCGTTGGCGTAGTTTTTAGTTCTTGTTATCATGTCCTAATTGGAGCAATACTGTTTTTTATTTATTTATTAAAAGTTATGTTTTAGACCTTCTATTGTTGTTTTCTTTGACCTTTATTTTAATCCCTAACATGGACAAGTCTCGTAACAAAAAAGTTTATAGTTGAAAGTCGACAACAACTGTAATAACTCACATGTCAAATCAACTAACTAATTAAGTCAGTATTCTAATCAGGTATTTCAGATATTTTGATATTTCGGTATATAGATTTTGAAATATGAAATACTAACTCAATTTCATATGAATTAATTTATTCTTCTCTGTTTTGGCTTTTGCCGAGAACTTTAACTTAATATCCATTCTGAAACCCTTAGATAAAACTTGTTGCCTTGTGGTTAAACATCCACAACCTGAATCCATCTTGTACCACCATCATCCGTGATGGAACACAAGTAATGTGTTTAAAAACAAAAGTAAACTTGGTGATCAAATTCTTTGTATTCAAGAATTAAGCAATCTAACAATCGATAATTCCTAACAATTGACATCAGAGCATTTCAAGTTTTGATTTTGGGTTTATGGAAATCAAGGAGTATAAAACAATCACAAAAAAGAAAGATAAGCTACTCGTTGGTTCTTCAAGGAAAGTGTGAATTCATCGTTTCCAATAACACTCACCTCAAGGAAGTTGAACAAGGTTAATATCGATATCTTCTTAACAAGGTTGAAAGTTAGACGGCGGATTCCATTATTCATAGTGGCGGTATGTAGAGTATTCAAGGCTGATATAATCACTAAAATTTCAAACTCAAAATGTTATAATATTTTTGATCGAAATTATTTTCAAAAAATGTATGTGGTATTTCAAACAATTTCTCGATAAAATTAGTTTTCTCCGTATATGTTATATTTTGATTAAACGAATATAAGTTAATAAAGATGTTAAAAGTTTACAGTGAAAATTTTGTGATTAATGATTTAAATTTTTTTTTAAAAAAATATATAAATTATCCTAAATTATATGAATAATTTTTTTTATTTGAATATATCCATATTAAAAAATATTATATATCTAGGTTAATATTATTTAAATTTAATTATATATATCAGATAAGTAAAAAAATTATTAAAAATAGACTTATGGACTTATTATTTAATATATTATTTAATATTATATTTTTTTTTTCATATTCCCCCTCCATGGCTAATAGACTTATTGTATTATCATTTTACAATCTAATAAAATAAAGCATTGTGGTTATAAAAAAAGTAAAAAATAATGATTTTTTTTATTTATTTACTATATAAAATGATTGTAAATAAAAGTTATTTATTTATGTGTTTGCTGCGCTTTAATCATATACATGATAGTTATTTTTCAATCATTTAATATATATATATATATATTTATTCTTTATTTTATAACCTCATACTATATGTAAATTGATGAAAATTAAATAATAGTACATAAAAATAATTTCTATAAACTATATTTATCCCACGCAAATCTCTCGTTGTAACTTTATTTAATAAATTTAAAATGCATGGTGTCAAATGGACCAGTATGTAGAAGTTAAATTTTATTACTACACACGTCCGCGAATTATCTACGTATAAAGAGACAGACAATTCCGCAGAATATTATTAAAAATCAGAAAACAATAAACCTGGAAACCAGACCCAAACAATTATACAAAGAAGGAAAAAAAATCAGTGAGAAGTGAACCTAAAGAGCATAACATGCAAGTAGCTCTGTCCAGGATTCACAATCTGCGACGGAAAGTTCTTGTGGTTCACGGAATCAGGGAAGCCTTGCGTCTCAAGACACACTCCCGCGTATTTCTCATAAACCGCTTCTCCTTTTCCGACAACACGTGTGAGCATATTACTAGTGTAAAACTGAACACCGGGCTGGTTCGTCCACAATTCCATTTTCCTCCCACTGACTTTCTCCGACACGACAGCAGTTTTCCTCAGATGCTTCCCGGAGATCCCGTCGATGACGTAGTTGATGTCGTATCCGCCGGGTAACTCGTGGATCCGGCTACCGATCTCGCGGGGCTCGAGGAAATCATAAGGAGTTCCTTCGATTGAGGTTATTTCGCCGGTGGGGATGAGTGTTTCGTCGACGGGAGTGATTTTATTGGCGAGGAGGTGGATCTTGTGGGAGAGGATGTCACCGGAGTTGTGGCCGTGGAGGTTCCAATATGTGTGGAGGGCTAAGTTGATCGGTGTGGGTTTGTTGAGTGGCTTTGCTTCCATTTTCAAAGCGAGTTTGTTTTCTCCGATCAACATGTATGTTACTTTCACCGTCACATCTCCCGGGAATCCTGGCAAATTTAATTTAGTTACATTTATAATTTTCTTTAAATTTTTTTTTTCAAACACCTATAAATTTCTTTGAATATGAATGCATATAAATTACGAGTTGGCAATATGAAAGTCTGTGCCAAACAAAATTGACTAATATATGTTTCATTAAAGATTATGAATAGTATTTCCTCAGAGGGAATACTAGTCATATTTTTCTTTCAAAAATACTGTATCATTGAAGAAAGTTTTCTGTAAAAAATAAAAATAATGGTTCTCCAAAATGAAGAACCATTGGAAATAGTTTTAAGACAATTCAAAGATTAGAAAAATTATCAAAAAAAAATCACAATAATTCTGTAAAACTGGTAAAATAAAAATGGTGTTATCATTACAAATAATAGTAGTAGTAGTAGTGGTAGGAGCATCAGAATCCATTCTATTCCAGTATTTCATAAAGGCTACTACTATATATATATAGATGGTATTTACCTTCTTCACCGTCGAAGCTATCGTATTTGAAAGTAATGTGGCTATTGGGAACGTAGTTCTGGACTGACCAAATCACATCACTAAATCCCTTTGAACCACCTTAATTAATCATTATAACACTTATAAATCCCAAACAGAAATATAAAATCAATTGAAGAGCTATGGTTATAAATAATCTACCATGAAGAGTGTTATAGCCATCGTTGGGATCGGTCTTGTACAATTGACCATTCAACTCGAACTCAGCACCTCCAATTCTATTAGCCACTCTTCCCACAATCGCCCCAAAATAAGTTGTATCATTCTGTTACAAAATCCAAAAATTAAAATGTATTCTTTTATATTGGAACAAATAATGACGCATATATAACGTCTACAACATCATGTGGGACTCACGACTCAAGAGATTATTAATCTGAAGTCAATTTATATAAAATTATCTTTTTAGTAGTGGACACAGTGTTTAAAAAAAAAGTAGTGGACACAGTGTATACCGTGACGAACTTAAAGGAGCTTTTGAGCCGAACATCGAGTTCTAGTTCTATCTAAACCATAAGATTTTTTTGTTACTCTAAATCATAAGACTTTTGTTTGACAAAAAGGATAACATGAAAAATAAATCCAAACTAAAACAAAGGAAAAAGGAAAATTACCTTGTAACCATCAACAGTATCAAATCCAAGAACAACATCGTCTTGCTTTCCTGAATCACATTAGAAGGGGAAAAAAATCAGATCAAATCAGAAAATTATAAGAGAAGAGAGACGGATGAGAGAAACCATGTCTGTCTGGGAGAAGAAGAGAGGTCATGACAGCACCATAATTAGTGAAGGTCACTGACAAGTTTCCTCTTGTGAGCTTATAGGTTTTGATCTCCTTACAGATACTGTAATCAACACAACATAACAACAATACCAACACATACACATGAACCACAACGTGTAATGACAATTGCTTGTTCGCCATTTCCTTCAGGTCTACTAAAATTGATGAGTTCTTAATGAGAGAGAAAAGGAAAAAAGAGAGAGATAGAGAGATTGGATATTTCTCCTTGTACAATGTGGGGAAAATTGTCATTTAAATCCCGAACTTTCAAATTTGGTTGAAAAAAAACATGAACTTTCTCTTGGACCATTTAAAGCACCAACTTAGTTTGAATAGCCATTTTAAACCTCAATTTAGTTTGACTAAACCAAATCAAACACGACGTTAATTCGGGTAACGGATCGATTAGACGGAGTTAATCACCGTCCCTAATTTCCGTTAAGTCGTCTAAACTCACTCAAAGACAAAACCACTAGACCACTTGCGCTTTTTGCAACTTAAATGAATACTAATAGATTTAGTATGAATCATCCAAATCATATTCCCACCCTAAATCCCTAAAGATTAAAACTTATAAATAACTTAATAATTAAAAACTCGTAAATATTAGTAAAAATATTAAAACTTATAATATTTATTAAGTTAATTAATAAGAAGTATTAAAAATATTAAATAATTTTTTTTTTAATCATTAAGTATTATTGAATATTCAAATTTTCATTCTTATACTTAATAATTAATTATTTAATAATACTTAATGATTAAAAAATTTTAAAATTTTTAAAACGACGTCGTTTAGACGACTTAACGGAAATTAGGGACGGTGATTAACTCCGTCTAATCGATCCGTTACCCGATTTAACGTCGTGTTTGATTTGGTTTAGTCAAACTAAATTAAGGTTTAAAATGGCTATTCAAACTAAGTTGGTGTTTTAAATGGTCCAAGAGAAAGTTCATGCTTTTTTTCAACCAAATTTGAAAGTTCGGGATTTAAATGACAATTTTCCCGTACAATGTGTGTGTATTTCGTTTCATATTTATAATAGCAGTGTAGATGAGATAGACAAGAATATTATTATCGGAGACTTTTCAATTTGTTTTTGTGTTTGTAATTTCTATTTTTAGAAGTTACTTTGGGATGTGTTTCAATTATTTTTGGAACCATATTTCTCTTATCAATGTGTTTCTAGAAAATATATTTATTAATCAAATGCGTTAATTTGTTATTTTAACATGTTTTCTAATAATCTTTATGTTAATTTTTTTATTTTAACATGTTTTGTAATAATCTAAATATTTGATCAATCACATGTGAGGTTAAGAATTGCAATGTTTCTAAATTCACATGCGTAAATGCACACGCGGACCACTACCAATAACCAGGTCACATTTTCAATGGGTAAATTTCTTGAAATTGATTCCTTGCTTAATTTTGTTGAGAAATTGCATATGATAGTAAATCAAATATATAGTTTAAGAAAAAAGATGAAATCAAATCAAATTTGTAAATCATGGATGTCATTCTTCCAACAATTTCCCCAAAGTAAATGGCCTCATTATTTATTTGCATTTTCTTTCGAAAATAGAAGATTTGAGAGGTAGCAATTTTATTTTGATGGAAAAAGCAAAGAAGGGAAGGTATTTATGGCAAGTATAGGATAGGGCAGATCAGAGTAAAGGAAGTTAGAAAAAAGGGATAAGATGTAAAGACTCATTTGATTAAATATTTGTGGACGAGAGAGATAACGTCAAAAGACTGTTAGGGGGAGTTCACCCCTTTCCCAAAAAATAAAAATAAAAAAAAATAATATTATTTTGGTGAATCTCTCTCTCAAAAGTTCATGATGGTGAACCTGGTTCATATGGGGTTCGCCACGTGACGGCCCCCCATTTGTCCGATTTTTTTTTTTTTTTTTTTTAAAAAAAAAAAAAATTAAAAAATCAATTTTTTTTTTTTTTTGGTGAACCTCCTATGGGGTTCACCAATGGAGATGATCTTATATTCAACCATTTCTGTGAAATCCAAACAAATCTTTTGTTTTGTTAGGGTATATTAGCCGCTTTTTCGTTTCTGCACTATAAAAAGTCAGCGTGATCACATGCTCCTTAGCCAAGCCATTTGTCAAACCTTTGCTCCAAAGAAAAACTAAGGACTTAATTTGGAAAGGATTAAAGTTAAAAATATTAAACATGTTTTGACTTTTGACTGAAGTAGTTAACGCTACACATATTTTTGATTACATGAACCACGTAACTCATTTTAAATTTTGGTTCTTTGGAACGCGTACAAGAATATATTTTTTGTTTGAACAAACGCTTACAAGATGTATAATGTACAAAATAATAAGAACAAACTAGGTAGTTCGAAAGTGTTAAAAGGAAAAAAAAAACATGAAGCAGCACATATAAACTTTGCAAAGAACCATTTTCACTATCGCACGTCTGGGAATTTGTTTGACGATCATCCATCAGAAACGGAAAAATAGATATAAGAATTGTAGCGCATGCCGACCAATTGTTGTGACAATCTCACTGTAATCCACAATATATACTTCCAGTAATAATCCACAATATATACTCTCACAATTGCTAACTTTGTATCATAAATAGTAGCAATTTTAAATGAAAAAAAAACAAAATTGACGTTTTGTGAATCCGGTATAAGAAGATCAAGAAAAGACATTAAAGGCTTGACCTGTTCTAGCAACCTTGATGAAAACATCTTCAAGAGTTGTGTCTGCGAGTCCCCAAGCAAAGACGGTAAAGCTGCTCTTAGCCTTCTCAACCGCTTGAAACACCTCTGAGATCCGAACCTCCTCCTTTGGGAGCTCAAACTTCTGGGTCCCAGCAATATGATATATCTTCTTGGCGTTTGGGGAGACATCTTGAATCAGCTTCTCCACGTCTCCCTCGTTTTCTGAAGATGTTGTCATCGTGAAAACATAAGATCCACCATACCTTCCTTTCAGCTCTTTTGGGTTGCCAATGCATTGCAAGCTCCCGTCTACGAAAATCCCTAGTCGGTCACATAGAAACTCTGCTTCTTCCATTGAGTGAGTAGTTAGGATGATGGCAGTGTTTTGTTTTGCGCGCTTGATGACAGTCCATAGGTTATTTCTCGAGGCTGGATCAAGTCCTGTGCTTGGCTCATCCATATAAACCACCTTCAAAGGGAAACAAGGACAATTTTGTTGAACTTATAACTCTCTAGGTGTATATTCATAAAAGCTTTTCTTACAAATAATAAGAGCATCATTATCCAGGGTTTCTTAGGACGGAAATCTTAGGTGATTTCTTAACTTCTTAAAAGTTAAGATACAGTTTTTGTATATTTCCCTAAGAACCCCGTCCTAAGAAACTCTGGATAATGATGCTTTAAGTGAAAACAATGGTTTTTACCTTAGGATTTCCGATAAGTGAAATGGCCACGCTCAGCCGCCTTTTCATACCTCCGCTGTATTTCCCAGCAGGTTTATCAGCAACTCCTCCGTGGAAAAGGTTGACACTCTTAAGAGACTCTTCCACAGCCTAATGGAAGGAAAAATAACAATGCAGTTGACATTTAAATAACTTTTGTAGTATGGCAGAATTATCTAGAGAAGTAAGACTGATAACATACTTGGATTAGGTTAGAGCCTTTGAGATTCTTAAGTCTTCCATAAAACAGCAGATGCTCTCGTCCTGTCAGCGTCTCCCAGAGCAAACTGATACACAGCAGACAATAAAAGAATTATAAAACAACTATACTCCCTATAGTGGAACAATGAGAAACTGCTTATGTGTTCTTTTGCCATTTCTTGGTGAAGAACAAAAATGAAATAAATGTTAAAGAATTCAGTTACTCGTGTTGCGGGCAGACGCCCATGCTGGTGTATACTTTGTCCATATCATTGCATATATCCAAACCTCGAACAAGCCCTGTTCCGGATGTTGGTTTCAGGAGTCCAGTCATCTAGTCAGGAAAAACGTACATATAGTAAGCCTTTTACAAAAAAAAAAAAAAAAAAAAAAAAAAAAAAAAANTAAGCCTTTTAAAAAAAAAAAAAAAAAAAAAAAAAAAGAAGAAACGGTACATATTACAACAGTCACAAGATATATAATCTGACACTTTGTTCTAAAAAAAAATTATAATAATTTACTCAAAAGATTTTGCCCATTTGGGTACTGACCATATTGATGAAAGAGGTTTTGCCAGCACCATTAGGTCCCAACATGCCAAAGCATTCTCCTGAAGGCACAGCGAGGGATATCCCACGCACTGCCAACTTTGGCGGGTTGCCATCTCTACTTGGATACACCTTCTTTAGGTTATCACAAATAATAGCATGGCTTGTGCTCTGCTCAAGCATCAACTGCTCGACCTTTTCTATCTAATTTAAACAATTGTTTTCCTTATGTCAGAGCCTAAATAATCAAGATATAACATGCAATATATAGTGCATCCATTTAAAATACCTCCTGAGTAACATCTGGTTTTTCCATTTCAACTACGACTTTGAAGCCTTGCCTTTGCAAACTAGGCCTTCGCAGAGAAGGAGATTTCTTGAAAGAGCTTTTCAAGAAGAACAACGGGTCTTTTCCGGATGAAACAATCTTATCGATATAGTATGCTGCAATGAGTGCTAGGAACCACTCAACGATAATGATGATGAACACTTCATCCATTGCACTCTCACTGAAATCTTTCCACTTCATTCCATCTGTGCCACTAAGGTTTCCCTGGAAAGCATATTCTCCGAATTCATACAGTCCACGGTATAAGGAGAAGGGAGGTAACAACTCCAGTACAATAATCCAGCCTCCTGTAGAAGTATAAATGAGAAGCAATCATTGTCAACTTTAAGATAAACACATAAACGAGTGTTGTAAATAACGTTATTGTAAGTTAATCTTAATAACTTACTAGAAAACGATGAGTCTTCGATCAGAAACTGGAGTAGAAACGAGCCCACAAGTCCAGCTGCAAACACGTATATGTAGGAAGCAACTACAAGTTAGACATAAGAGGAAGGCCATTAGTTCCTTCAGTTCCAACATGTTCTTGAACATATTCAAGAACTACGGTTTTTGTACCTGTTGATGTCTTGACCTTTGAAAATATAGAAGAAAGTAGAAAGCAAAGGGCAATTTGTAGGTTTACA